GAAATTCTATATCTACTTCGACCGTGTGTTCTACTGCGCCCAGACGATGATTAACGGTCGAATAAACGAAAAGAAGAAGGCCCACTCTTACTATGTCCAGACTTCTTTGTAACATTAGTAGCGGTTGGTTGCGGTGCCATTTTACCGCAATCATTATTGATATAGAAATAATAACAATTCGTTTGTAGCAGCCGCTTATAAGGCCCAGAGAGGGAACAGATCGTCCATTTTCTTCTAATCCGACCGATTTGATAAGGCGGTTAATAATGTTCCACCCCTGAGCAGAAGCTGATGAAGCTTGGTTCATCGTAAATACTAGCGTGCCCCAGGGTTATACTACAATTATCGATAATTAATCTATTATTAACCATTACGATTACCACTGTGATTGTGTTAAATTCATTTATATATATATATATATTTCTGATGAATGTAACTTTATGCATTAATGCAAAGATTGAGGCTGAAAAACATCTGTCAATCAAATAATCTTAAGACTTACAATAGTAGGCCGTACGGCCTTCATTCCTGTCCGGAACTATATATATTTTCTGTCACCTGTCAGTACTCAATATATTGTTTTTCGCGGAACTATCCTTTGATAATTACTATCTTCAAGATATCACGTTTTCGAAAATGTCCTATCTGACAACGGATTTGCAACAACAGCAACTGTTCGCAGTCCGTCGGCTTTATGCAGAGCATGAACTATGCAAGTGTCCAAGAGACGTAGTCCATTAATTCAATGAGAATTTTCTATCTATTTGTTAGATTATCTCGAAAACTGTCTGCTATGCAACTGTTGGACCCTTTCTGCAAACCTGCAACTCGTTGTTTTTAACCGTGAACTTTGACGCAAAGCTAATCCAGCAGTATTACCCCATCAATAATAGTAATATTATTAATTAACTGAAAGACAGAAACCAATATATATTTCGTGAGCAACATTGTTGGATTTAGAAAAACAAACATATGCTTCATATATTTGTTGCGGCAAATTGAAGTCGATAAAAACTGAATGTTCGTTCAAAAGCACGTGTGCACGCCATTGGTAGTTCCGCAATTCTGAGAACCTGTTTGCGGCGAATGTGTTTGTGTGATGTATCGGCTTCAGTAAAGCCACAATTTTTGCGGCCTGTTCCACTGACCTGCCCGGTGAGCTCTACGTGCCCGACATGGCCGCAAGTGGCCGTGTCAACTACACCGTGAGTGAGTTTCATTTACTGAATGAGCAAAAGACAAGTACGAGCCTGACTATTTCGGCAAACAGCATTGTGCCGGCGACACTGTAGCTGCATACAAAAAAAAAAAAACTATCGGCCTCGGGAAGGTTCCAAAAGTATAGAAACACCACAGCCTATTCTCGTATGAATGCTAAACCAGATCACATCGTCCTATATGCAACGAAACAGTAGCGTGAGCAACTAACCCGACTCGGCAAGTTAATACTTGCGTGGGCAGGTCGAATAGCTCTGAATCAACATTTGTTTAGGCTAACTTTCAAGAAGTCAATCTGTCCTGCCGCAACCTGCGTGTGAAGAGTACACTGGTGTGTGGTAAAAACCTATTTCGATCTACCTCAGGGTGAGCCAATATGATAAATATGAGTTATCCTCCCCGATCTTTTGCGGTTGATGTTCGTGCACCAGTAACGGCAGGTCGATCCCGGCGTAGCAACTGCGCCCTTGAGACGCTTTCGAGGTTTACAAGCGCTGGATTCTCTGGACCCAGCAGATCAGCTCTGGAAAAAGAGGGTGGTCAGACAGTCATGTCGAGGCCAGAGGGTCAGTGTGCTCTGAGTCCAATATATCATTACGATTAAAGTCAGTGCTCTCCCTAGCTAGGAATATCAGCAGGCCGAGTTGTCGCAGACAACACGGTTGTGCGTTTTTCTGGCCTGAAAAGTGGCAGTAGTTATAATCGTATTCATACATGCATGTCATTAGAATAGCACATCCAACACGCACCCAAAAATTGTGCCTCCAGCACCCATACGGCTAATGGACAGATAAAAATTGGGGTGGGACGCGTTCAATTTACTCGTTTCAGTCTCAAGCCCAACCTATTTCATCTGGATACGTACAGTTCCCAGTGTCCTAGTCCTATTATATGCTTGTGAAGGCTTTTAAAATTTGCCGGTTACTACTATTGCCACATTAATTGTATCTGCTTGACACCGGATGGAAAGGCAAATAAGCAAACATTTTGAGGCACACCTCAATGACGTGCCAAAGGCGACGTTTTATTGTCGTCGCATGTACTACCACTGAGCTCGCTGCCTACGAAGTCAACAACTGGTGCAGAGGTAGCAGACATTTAGACTGCCAGTGTTGCCAACTGCTGCCGATTCGACCAGAAATCGAGCCATTGTGGGTGTGCAGGCCGATTCCAATATTATCCTCTTATTTCCTCGTCCTTTCTCTAAAGCTAACTCTGCCGCGATTTCGCTTGGTTCGCATAGCAATATACAAAGCGCGTTTAGCGTCGCCATTGCGGGTCCCTTTGCCCCCGTCGTTATTGACGGCACATCGCTGCTGGTGGTAGCAACAGAAACGGCGGCCGCATCGCCGGTGAACGATACATTGATCAGAACGGTGGCGTGCTTGCGGTCATTTAGTTCCTATGAAGGGGAAGGCAAATAAGGTAACGGGTATTTCAAGCCTTCGGGAAGTGCCCATCACTTCGGAGCCCACTGTCGCTAACTGCATCCGATGTAATCGCAACAGCACGACGGTGCTCTGCATAAAAAAGGAAAGTTGAAGCAGACGCGGGACGTTCCGTGTGCTTCCATCGACGGGAATCCCACAACAACGCTTTTACGATGGGCCTTGTCGACGACGGCAGCTCCCCAGAGTCCAAGCTGCCATAACCCAGGAATATGCCTAATTCTCTGAAGAGTCCGCGTTAACCTCGAAGGAGACTATCAGCAGCTTTTTAAAGAGGTTAGTCGCCGGAACGTATCTTCGAAAGCCACAGTTGTGGTCTTACACCGGCTAGACACTTAGCTCTCTCATCCGAGTCAATTTTCTCTAGCGAGGCATGAGGAACACGCATCTTTTTTACCTTCTATTTGCCAATCGTACACGTGTGTTATGACAAAGCTAAGGTACCAAAGAGAAGTGTCGACTCATTTCATACGTACGAGACGTTTATTGTTTTGCTTAGGAGGAAAGTTCAATGCATACGTATGTGTCGTTCCTGCGAGTTTTAGACGCGGACATCCGGTTCACTTAGCAGCAACTTTGAGGGTAATTTGTACTCGATTTGAAACTGTCATACCTATATGCGAAAGCTCAGGATTGTTTGGCGTATAAGAAAAGCTTTATCGACGAGTAGGGCATAATCAGTATCAACTAGGTCTATTTACGTCTCTTGTAGTATATGTATTCAATATAAACACTTGTAGGTGTTTGATGCTTACCGTTGTCTTTGCTATACCAGCATCTGGTTCTATCAAAAACGCTCGACTATCCATTCTTGCCCGCTTTTGTTAAGCATATCTTCAATAAAAATCGGTCAAAGGGCTTGTGTTGCAGTTTTCTCACGAAAAAGCGGTGTCTCTCTGGAAGTATCGCTTCAAGCAGTCCCTAGACTCTAAAAGCACGGGGCATGGCAGGAGGCTGCACTTACGCTACGGTATCTTCTTCTGCTTCCTACGGACTTCCTGTTTGACCAACGCTGTTATACGTTCAGACCTTGTTAGTTTATGGACTGATGTATGATGCCTGGTAGCAGCAGCCAATGATATACGGCCTATGCTGTAGCCTTCGGTTCTTCGCTCGTCTTCGTAACCGTCTAGTACGCTTACACACGCAGACATGTCTAAGAACACCTTCGCTACTCGGCTGAGAATCACGAACGGAGCGATCCTAGGTAGCTATGGGATGCTGGGATGAGAGAAACCTCATAGTTGTCCGCGTCAAGCTCCGTCGAGCGCCTAGACACGGCATCACCCTTCTATCGCAATGATTTATACCGACTTGTGTTCCCCGTCGGGGCGACGGGTTTTCTTAACGGCGCTACAAGAACGTAATATTGACTCTACTTAGCGTAGTCGACGAAATACCGCTAATGGCAGGAGTCACTGTTAGGTGGTCCAATTTTGAAACTGTCGAGAGGCCTACGCTGATCTGTGAATCCATTGTGGTAATAGTTCGAGTAGGAATACGACTGATAGCATCCGTATCGGAACCGGACCACACGCTGTGTACAGGCTCCGGTTATTCGATTTCAATTTGCATGTCGTATGATTAGATAACGTATTAGGCTACACTTTCTGGACAGAAGAACGGATTCAAAGTGCTTGTTTGAACGCCGACTTTCAGTTAGGACGACGTTGGGGGGCTGATGCGTTCCGAAGGAATTAAACGCGTTTGGGTATGGCACGAACGCACAAGCACGCATGCTGTTAGTTTGCAGAAGAATTTCGATCTTGAATGATAGTGAACGTAAATAATTGATTCATTTAGTTCAATGGGGCACGGATAAAAGGACCCCTATGTGTGTCGCTTCTATGTTAACAAACTGACTCCTATGAATAGTAAGGCAGCTTTAACTTAATTCTATGTGGCCGCTAAGTGACCGATAAGAAACCGTATGTTTTCCAGAAGCTGAGCTACGTATAGTCCCTCGGTTTTTACGGTGCCATAATAATTATGTGGAGTAAGCAAAACTTAACCACGCTCTTCCGATTGTAACGGCCGTCGATGTACAGTGTAATACAATCGATCTCGTTATGGGAACTGACGCCCACGTAGGAATCTAGGAATAGGATAAATATATCTAAAAAAAACATTCAATATTTGTCGTCTAAGTGTTCGTAATAGCAATATTGATAACGCCCACTAAAAGATTTTTGTTATAAGGAAGCAACACCATATTTACCTTGGTCATGTTCGCCCGTTATAGATCGGCTGCGACAGGAAGGTTGATTATTTATAAAATAATCTTACTTCCCTCTAATGCATCGTCTGTTTGTTGACTCGCTTTGATGTTTTCAGACCTTGTGTGATCTAAGTGGTTTCTAGTGGTGAGCATCCGACAGGCTCGCCATGCCTGTACGGTGGTTCAATAGCAGCCGCAAAATGTCTCTTCCTCGACTCGTGTACAAACTGGCTTTGCTAACGTTGACCATTTCAGCATCTGAATCGTCCGTAGTAATTCCCTTCGGCCATAGACCTACCCCGGCCTCAGCGGATCCGACTGACACCGATGACCTACTGGATTTCTATATTACCGGGCCTGAACGTTACACAGCGCTTTCGGCCGACATGGATATCTACTTTAGCGTTCCGCCAACTAACTCCGAGGCTTTACTCGCCAGAGTTGTCGATCGCAGCGGTGAGTTCGAATGATTTTATGAAGTTATTTCAACTTAGGCATTACTTACGAAGTATCGTTTTATCGTCATATCATTCTACGGGGCTTAATTATAGTTTCAGTAGGATAGGAGATACGGAATGATAGAAACGTACTGATATTCTGTAGTGAAACGGGCAAAGGATCGAAATAATGATGTTCTTCATTGTCTGTTTGATGCTGTATATGATTGTAGTTTGACACACAGCTTGTGTAGTGCTCTATTGCGGTAAACCAAATGTAAAAAAATAACTTGGTTTATTTTTACGAACCGTGTATTGACGTGCCGTCACTGGGACCCGTAAGTAAAATACAGCATAGCATAGAGTTGGCATCGGCTGATAGTGGCTAATAACAAATCTGACAGAGCTGTTTTTTTCATTTATATACTCATGGCGATTTTTCTTTATAGAAATTTTATTTATATACTATAAAATTATAGATTTTATACAAACTGTGTGCCAGTGCATAGAACTGATTAGGATACAAAGTGAAGATTCATGCCAGTAGCTCTTGATAGTTCAAGCTACGAACTTTTCATCTTCTAAATTATATTTGGCAGCGGAAATTTTCGAAGGGTGAATTCTCCATGAACTCATCAATTAACACCACCTATTATAACAAGTCAGATATGTGTTGTATTTAGTTTTATCGGTAAACCCACCAATTTAAAAGGCTTAATGATAAAAACCTTGTATATATGATCTATTCGAATCTGATAATTTTTTTTTTACTTTAAAACGCCCAGAGTCGTTGCTCTTTTTTTTACATTTAATTTACATACAGGCTTTTATGTCGTATAGGCTTGTATAGATTTGGTCATTTGTGATAGCTTCAGAAAACCTATCGCTTTTGTTTCTCCTGACAATGGAATATAAATGAAAGTTCGTTTTCGTCAAGATCGTGCCCGAAATTTCGACGCACATTGCAGCTATGATTCTGCATTGGAAAAAACGTGTTCCACCAACGAACAACAAAAGTCACTGGCAGCCATATCATGTCCTGCCGTTGTCCTCAAAAACGACAAATTTCTATATAAAGCCTTTTGTAGTTTCGTTGCTCACCTACTTTTACTGCCTTCGAAGACTTTACGAACGAGCAGTCGATCAATGAAGCCATTTATACAACGGTTGATTACGGCTGGTCAGTAGTGGACCACATATGCCTACGATGTGCAAATAAAGAGACAAAGGTAAGATTTTTGGCAAAGCCGCCAAAGAAGGTGATGCTACGTTTTTGGCGGGATTGGCACAAAATCGTGCATTCGGTCTTATACCGCCTAACCGAACGATGTATTCAGACCTCTACTCTACATAACAGCGAATAATAAGGTTACAATAGACCGTTGAAAAAAATCCACAAGAATCAGCAAATAGGGTTCGTCTATCAAAGCAATATATATATATATATATATATATATATATATATATATATATATATATATAATGTTTAGTTACGCAGCGAAAATGAGGAAACGGATTGGAAACTTGGATGCATCTGCCGTTCAGCCCGAAATTCGCACCCTCAGATTACCAGCTGCCTCGGTACCTCCAGAAATTCCGTAATTATGTCAATTTAGTTTTTATGAGGACATATGAAGACCACTCGTCAGAATGTTTTAAAAAAAAGCCACAGGAAGACTAAATTATGGTCCTTCCAGAATAATGGCAGAAGTTAATAGTGCATATTTATTTTAGTGATATTAACTGAAAATCCGAACAAAAAATATCCCTTGAGCGCTTGCCTGTCAACACTTTTCGACAACACAAAGTCGCGTGTATTACGGGTGACTCGAATTGATCAACCGTTAGCCATTGACGGTACTTCACACGACCGTAGCCCGCTGGTGTCCAATATATACATACATACATATGCACGTTCTAAGATACATTACGTCGTTAACTTACCGCACGATTTCACTGCTTTGATCTGCGCAGATCAATAGAAAAATCTTGTTGCAATACACAGTCTGTCTTACCTCTCTTTCATTGATTTCGGAAGCAGCCTATTATTTGGTCTGCAACGAAACGCTTCTACAGAGATCGTTTCAATCGGATTTTGCATAATGATACCGGATTCATTCGAAGGCTGATTGATCGTAACTGGATTGATGGCTGAAATTGTCCGTGACGTGTGCTTCTACCTTTTGTCTACGGGGCTAGTTCACACCAAATTTGTCTAGCTGGATGCTAATAACAATAGAAGAAGCGGTCACCTTTTATATATGCGGTATTTCGTTCTTCAATTTATATACGAATACGTTTCTTGTATAGGAAGTTTACCTTTTTTTTTTTTAACGGTTGTATTGTAAATCGACCACTTACGACATGCTTCTGTATTTCATGGCATATTAAGATATGACCGTTTGGTAATAGCTTATGGTAGTTACAACGGTTACTGGTAAATAATCGTTGTGTCACTGTTTCTATCGTGGCCCAACGTTGAAATTCGACAGAAACAAGCCGAAAGTTTTCAGCTGGCAGCGACCTAACCGATCTCCTTCTCAGGCAGCGTATCATTATTCAAGTGGGAATAGCCCAATCTAATACTTAAAGTGCTGTCGAGGGAACGAGGCAGAGTTGACCACATCGGCGCGTTCATGTCACCCACTTCTATAGAGCACTCATGCTCGAGTACAGGATACCCTTGATACAACCAGTCTGTTACTAGCTTCCCATAACGTCCTCTATTCCCAGACGTATCATAACGTAAAGCAGACTCAATACTCCTAACTATTAGCAAGGGAGGAATGGAATTGCTAAACGTTGTTTCCAGTTTGTCTGCAGCAAGAAACAGCTACCCTCCATTGTAATTTTAGTGCTGCTTTTTAACCCAGTCTAGCTGCTTCTACGCGTATGCTACCTTCAGCCACCCTCTGAATCTCAAGAGCGCAGTCGACTACAGCTGAGAATTCGGCCCCCACAAGGTGAAGCGCGGTATAAGCTATTGTCAAGACTTCGCCCGCCATCACCCTTTCTCATTGCTCATAATGCATCTCGTGGGAGGTTTTTGCTGTGTTCGCTGCTGCTAGCGTTTCTTGAACTGGCGGAGTTGCCAGTTCAAAAGGACGCACGGAGGCCCCGAAGTGGATCTTTTTTTCTTTGCGAAACAGCCAGGTGGAGCCGTAGAAGCGGACTTAGGGCTGGCTTGCTTCCTTTTGCTTCTCCGCGTTTAGCCGGTTGCCACGCGATCTCTGAGTCATCTTACGAGCTCATCTCACCCAACAGCGATTCCCTAACGAAACGCGTTGCTAACCTGGCTTCTAAACGCTGTCCTAATGAGCGACCGGTCTTTTTGGCCTGCGTACTCTTCAGGACAGCCCTAGGCTTCGACGAAAGGGAGAGCATGAGGTTAAAACATTCACCGAGGGGCACTAGGGTTCCTTGTCCTAGCTCTTTTTTAGTCGGCTCAGCAGACTTGTTGTTGGATCTGCTAGGGATTTCACGATGGCCCTGTGTTGGCCCGTTCCTGCTACATCACGACGAGTTCCGGAACCTCACCTAATCGATCTGCAGCTCTAGGCGTGGGAGGAAGCAGCTCTTCAAGCTGCTGCTGTTAAACGTACGAACAAAAAAAGATCGGCATCGACCAGTATATTTTTACGAACTATATTATGGCGCCGGTGGCGCCTGTAACAGTGACGGCGAATCTGCGACTTTGCGCTGGCAGAAACACACGATATAGGCTTCTTCAAAAGCAATGCCATCATGCAGACAGCTACTAGGAAAGCTTCTACTGTGACACGGCGCATACTAGCGAATAGACCTCAGGCCTCTTACTCAAACATTCATCATAGCTCCCGATTCAGTCTCAGACACGGTAATGCCACGCCAGCGGTTGCTAGAAAGCAAAAGACCCGCGTCAACGACGAAGATGATGGGAATTAAGCGAATTATACGCGATGATAAGAAAGCAAAGGAGCGGACGGGCCACGTAGTCGCCAGTTGACTACGGTAGCGTAATGGACCACGTGCTCCTGGTAGCAAAGACGCAGGGAAAAAGCCATTTCTAATGCCACGACAGGTTACATTAGAGAAAAAATGCTGATTGCACCTGGGAGGTGGTGTCATCTCCTGCTGCTCGAAAAGCGTCGAGCATATGTTTATGTACGGCGTGAATATGTGAGATATTGGTAAACTTGATGTAGTCTCATACCTCATATTTTAATCGGATAAGTTTGCAGGTTTCTGGAAAATATAACAGTATTAATAATAAAAACAATAATAATAAATAATAATAGAAGTAATAGTAATAAAAATTCTACTAATGATATTTCTTATATTATGCAGGGTAGACGCTTTGTGCAGCATGCTTACATCGGAGACTACTCACAAGGAACAGAGGCCGATTTAAAATTATTCCACCTAAGATATCAGCTGAAAATAGCTCGTGACAGACGCTATTTTTTCTTCTTGGCAATCCCTGCAGCAATGTCTGATTCAGTCCAAGCTGAAAATGCCCCCAATAGCATACATCAGACATGCGTTCGACCTGAAGGGTTGGCACATCAGAGGCCAGAGCAGTGCTGTACACCTTCACAGTGGAGGAACACGGTTAGCCTTTTTTGAGGGAAACAAAAGCCGAGAAGTCAACACTTCATAGGACGAGGAATTTATTTCTCTGCCGGCGGCGAAGCTACTCGGTCCCGCCAGGATCGTCTTCACGGCCCTCGTTCCCCAGTTAGCCTCAGGCTGTGTGCGGAGGCTACAGGTTATAATTCTTTTTTCAAGCCTTTAGTAGTAGCAGCGGATATGAACACAATGAACTTCCAGCGATTGTTCCTGCCGTTGATATATCTGGTATAGTGGATTCGCGAAAAACATTGAACGAACGAATCAGCTAGCTATTCAGGGAAAAGGTAAAATGAGTTGTCAAATTTACATGGAGCTATTACACATGCATATTCATTCATATAAATGGTCATTTAAACGGCAATGTTAAAGCTGCTAAAGAAGGCTGCTACTCAGATAAGTGCAGCGAAA